ATTACAGGTACCATGGACTCCAGGCTATGGTTTAAGGATTTTCTCGATCCTAAAAAAGATGGGCTGTTGATGACACTGGAAAGAACTGGGGAGTTGGTGCAACTGGTATTTGGGTTGAAGAGCAAGAAGTACAGAAAGTACAGAACAATTGGTCAGGAAGATTCTGGTGAGAGATTCGTTTTGATGACTTCTTTTGCTACTGACGGTTTGAGCCTATCAGTCAACGTTATTGATACAAGATGTAGGAAAGTCAAGCACACTCCACCTCCACCAGTTGTTTCAAGAGACCCCGCATATAGGAAAGACACAGATATCATCATGGGACTAGATCTTGGTCAGGCCTTTACTGTTGGAGCTGTTTCGTGGTTGCCAGACGGCTCACAGAAGAATCTAGCTGTTAAGAAGAAGGCTCTTGGTGAACCGTATACTCTTTACAGAAACTGGCTGAACAAGACAAAGATGAAAGATGAGAACAAGCCTGTAAGAGATGCAGAGAATTGTGGCCTCTCCCGACTTCCAGATGAAACAATCACTAATTATTTCAACAGAATGATTGAAAGATACACAGTTTTGGCTAATTTTTACAATTCACATGCTATTAGAAAGAGGACCTTTGAGTATCATTGTGCAAAGCAAAGGGAGATGGATCGTGTTTTCATTGCTTTGATTTTCATGGTTNAGAAACAAAGCCAGAACCGAAAATTCCAGAATTCGACCCTTCAAAGTTGGAAACTTTTTCGATTGTTAGGCTTTTCTTCGCTATGAACAATCTGCTGCCGGTTTCGCAGCGATACAAATACATGCCAAAATATCAGCCGTCTTTGTTTCCTCTAAGTCTTACGGAAGACTGTCTTCTTGGTATTACAGGTACCATGGACTCCAGGCTATGGTTTAAGGATTTTCTCGATCCTAAAAAAGATGGGCTGTTGATGACACTGGAAAGAACTGGGGAATTGGTGCAACTGGTATTTGGGTTGAAGAGCAAGAAGTACAGAAAGTACAGAACAATTGGTCAGGAAGATTCTGGTAAGAGATTCGTTTTGATGACTTCTTTTGCTACTGATGGTTTCAGTCTATCAGTCAACGTAATTGATACAAGATGTAGGAAAGTCAAGCACACTCAACCTCCACCAATTGTTTCAAGAGACCCCGCATATAGGAAAGACACAGATATCATCATGGGACTAGATCTTGGTCAGGCCTTTACTGTTGGAGCTGTTTCGTGGTTGCCAGACGGCTCAAAGAAGAATCTAGCTGTTAAGAAGAAGGCTCTTGGTGAACCGTATACTCTTTACAGAAACTGGCTGAACAAGACAAAGATGAAAGATGAGAACAAGCCTGTAAGAGATGCAGAGAATTGTGGCCTCTCCCGACTTCCAGATGAAACAATCACTAATTATTTCAACAGAATGATTGAAAGATACACAGTTTTGGCTAATTTTTACAATTCACATGCTATTAGGAAGAGGACCTTTGAGTATCATTGTGCAAAGCAAAGGGAGATGGATCGTGTTTTCATTGCTTTGATTTTCATGGTTTGCTTGAAACCACATCAGAAGGTCAAAAAGAAACAGCGGATTTATGTTGGCATTGGCACTGGAGACTTTGACGCAACTGGTTCACTTCATACTTCGTTCTTGGAATACTTTATGAGGGAAGCAAGGCCTTTGGGGATAACGATTCTTGGCGTAGATGAGTACTTTAAATCCCATAAATTTGTCCGATGTCATGAGTTCACAGAATCGCTGTCTATGAGGGCGAAGAAATGCTCAAAGTGCAACGTCGTATTCCACCGAGATATATTGGCCGCTGACAACATGTGTGCTGCGTTGTCTGCTATTCTAGAGAAAGGAGAACGTCCTGAGTATTTGTGTAAACCTTCTGACGATAAATCAGACGATGATAATGATGGACAGGACGATGGTTTGAACAAGAAAGACAGGAAAGGGCACAATCCGAAGAAGAAGAAGCCCAAAGACAAAGAATTAAGACAATCGACTTCCTCAGAATATGCGCTAGAAAATGCCGCGAAAAAGAAATCTGTATCCTATTTATTAGGCTCTGCGCGAGTCATTGTACAATGACTCGTTGATTAACTGTACAGAGTCTTTGGCTTCACCTGAATATCGCGTCAAAGTGGTTTATGATCGTCTCAACAACGATACTGTGAGCAGCAGTATTAAGTATCGATTCAAATGATTCCACTTGTGGTCTCATAAGCGTAGGGCCAAAAACGATGCCCAAGTTTGTCGCGTCCATCTTGTTTGAATCGGAAAGTTTAGCAACTTTGACCAAGTGTTTCATCAAGAAGCACAAAGTCTCGTAGTTTGGTTTAGGAAGTTTCTTGACAAGTTCTCTCATTTGTGCAACTCTCGTGCTTACATCTTGAATTTTACTTGCATTAACTAAAGGATCATATTTTTCAAATGTGAACAAAGGCTGCTGTAACTCTCTAAAGTACAATTTGACAAGTCCGGTAATTATGTTAATATCAGCGAACTCTTCGGCTGTTAAATCTATGTTTGCGCGGCCTAATAATCATTCAGTAATCTATAAATGATATTATACCTTCGTTGTACATGAAACGCAATTTCTGGATCGATGCCAAGTTTCCAGACAAACGATAAATACCAACAAAGTCCAGGCCCTTGCTTTCGATATGCTGAATACATTGCTCGACAACAAAAGGTATTTTCCTCTGATCTTTTTGCACATGTAATGCCAAATCTCCTCCAAACAGCGAATCTTCTGTGATGATACCTTTCTCCTTCAATGTTTCTAAAGGCGGACGTGAAGTTAGCCAACCCAACAAAGACTTCTTTGCAAATGCTTTCCTATCAGCTTCAGGTAAATCGTCCTCAATAACATTCGCAGAGGAAGATTTTTTCTTCAATTCTGGTTGAGCTCTTTTTAGCACAGATTTCTTTTCGATTTTAGGAGTAGCTTCAGCTTTTGAGTTTGAATCAGAAGGCCTCTTTGTTACAGTCTGATTTTGTTCTGCAATAGATTCTTTCTTGACACCAGGAACCTCCAACAATACTTCTTGCCATGAAAGGAATTCAGCCTCGTCTTTTGCAGCCAAGAACAAGGCTTCTCCTTTCCCTGTGGTTATTGCGAACGAATATTTCTTCTTATCTAAGTTTGAGCTGAAATCAAGTCTGGCTTGGCGTATATCGATCATCTTGATAGGCTTATCCTTCTTTCCTTCTTTCTAAGACTATTAGTACAGTAATAAGCTTAAAAGCACCTTTTTACTTTGAGAATCTTTATAAAAGTACAAAGAGCTGCCTGCTAGCTCAGTCCAGAATGATTTCCACGCTCTTAAAGTCATCTTTTTATCATCTCCATTTCTTCTTTGTAAAAATCCTTCCTTCTTGACCTCTGAAGCCTGAGCTGCTTCCAAGTTTGCCACTGGTTGATCAAATTCATCATCTACGCCGTTTAAATTTTCCTCAGACAGAGATAGAGGTGATTCATCTCCACTTACAGTCCCTTGCTGTGGTAAGGGACTCACTTTCAGCTGAGACTCCGTGTGCATAGGGACTGGAGGATTTGAACCAACACGTGCACGCATAGAACTTGCCGACAATCCTGCTGCCATAGCAAGTCTCTTGTTCAGTTCTACGAAATAAGTTACTCAAAAATGTACTATTTCACCTTCAGCGATGCTATTCCCTTCAAGCACTGAACTTTCTGGTCGGCGTTGTTTCAACTCTGCGATTAAATTTGGTGCACTCGTGGGGCCAGAAGATGTGGATGAGCCCTGACTTAACGTAGAATTCACTCGAACACGAACTTTAGGCGGCTCTCCAATAGAAGGTAAGCTGAAACTCGTCTGGTTTTGAAGAAAGTTGGCTTTAGACTTAACGCTTGAACCTGGTGCGAAATTGCTTAGAGATCCCATGTTAGAAGTTGTATCATCATCAGGCATTATGCTTGGGGTTGACATTCTTTGCTCAACATTAGGCTGCATTCCTGGAAGCTCTACGGGTCCTACGTAAGAATCTTTCTTCTTGATTATTGACGGCTTAGCAGCCATGACCGGAGGTATTGGGTTCTAACAAGTCATGATACTTTAAACTTCGCGATCATACCTCTGCCATCAACGATTCTATCTCCTCCACTCTATTGGCGGGGAACAGACCCCTCTTACCGTCGATCTCTCCTTCCCACCAGTCTCCATTATGCTTTTCGATCAGAACAATCGTTGATCCTGTCTTGAAACCGATTTCATTCGATTCCTGTGGCCTGTAATCATAACGAGCTCTACACATATCTCAGGTTCTCGCTTTCATGGTTTTACCTGCATAAAGTCTGCTTTTTGTGAAACATTATGTGAATTGGATTTATCGTAGCAACAATTTCTGCTGTTAAAAGCAAAAAGTTATATAAATAGATTTCGCGTTACCGCTTCCAGACATCGCTACCCAGTAAAATGTCTGAGCTCTAATTGAATGGACGAGGATGTTTATGCTGTCACATCAGATAAACGGAAGCTTGGAATGTCGGTTTAATATCGTTACCCTCCAAGAAGTTGCGCTGAAAGCAAAATAGATGAAGTATTCGCAGCGGCCACATTTACATGAGAGGTAAGATTAAAATAAGAGAGATCTCTAGGTAGCTTTTTAAAAAAATAATCAGTAAAGACCCTGAGCAAAAAGACTTATCAAGACCTTCACCGCAGCCTTCCAAAACGATTCCTCACAGAAGCAAAAAAGGGCCCAACTGGGAATCGAACCCAGAACCACTCGGACCCAAACCGAGTATTATACCATTAAACCATTGGGCCTTGCACATTTTAATTATGTTTTCGTAAAGAATTTAAAGATTTTTAGAGAGTTAGCGTTCCGTCTGCAAAGTTTCTGCTCGCGATATGAGTATTACTTGAGCCTGGTTAGTTCTCGCACGTCGCTNAAATAATCAGTAAAGACCCTGAGCAAAAAGACTTATCAAGACCTTCACCGCAGCCTTCCAAAACGATTCCTCACAGAAGCAAAAAAGGGCCCAACTGGGAATCGAACCCAGAACCACTCGGACCCAAACCGAGTATTATACCATTAAACCATTGGGCCTTGCACATTTTAATTATGTTTTCGTGGAGAATTTAAAGATTTTTAGAGAGGTAGCGTTCCGTCTGCAAAGTTTCTGCTCGCGATATGAGTATTACTTGAGCCTGGTTAGTTCTCGCACGTCGCTTTCTATGAATATGTAATCTATAGGATGATTTCCAGTCGCGGCATGAATGCAATCAATTTGAAACAAAGAACAAGAAAATAGCTTCCATAGCTGATCATCTAGCTCGTAACTGTATAACTCAAAACTCCTTTTAAAAAGCTCTTAAGCAGCACGGGCTTCAACCTTGAAAGCAGCTGTATTATGAACAACCAAGCCTTTTCTGATAGATGATTCGTTTAAATTTCATACTGTTCCAACTCAACTTTGAAAAGGTCCTGATACTTTCAAATTTTCGCAATGAGTAATCAGCAGGATAGAAAAGCAAGTATAGAAGAATTACTTGAACTCTTAAGAAGGAAGGGGCTGCATGACTTGCTTCAAAACTATCATGAAAGCGCTGGATCGATCATGGAGATTTGGATACAAAGCCCTATGGAGTATTGGGTAAAAATTGCTGGATTTTCGCAGGGCTTCAGCATTTACAATGTATCTCACCCGCTTGGTCATTTTCAGCCTCCTGCTGAATGTAAGGCCCGCTGTAATGTCCGGACTCTAATTTTTTCATTTAGTGAAAGAGGACTATCCTGACTTTAGGCCATCATATTACACACTTGAATTTCCGTTCTTTGGTCGTAAGAGAGACAAGGCTGCGGTTGCTCCTGTTAATGATGATATGCTGATGACTATTAATGAGAATGTTCATAATGGTTTCAGGGATCACAAATACCGCCCGATTATCATCAGCGCGAGCCACGGGATGGATGCGAAGTCCCTCTTGAAAGCAATTGGATTACAATCTATTCCGGAACACCTTAATTGTCCAGAGATCGTGAAAGCTGGACAGTGTGGCAGGATATTGTCGTTTGACGTTTCACTCGGACTTGACGGAATTCACCTTAACGACAATGTTTTAACCTTCTTCCAGAGGTTGATGGTGCATTATTTGTGTAGGATGATTTGTTTTAAATGTGTTGGTGGTATTTACTTCAGAGCTAAAGTGTTGTCTCTTTTTCCGATCGCTTGGAAAGACATCGAGGCCGACGCATATCCGGGAACAGCGTTTTATAGATGGCTTTCTATGTGCCGTGGTTTCAGCGTTGATGAGATGATTGACGAATACATGAGGCTGACAAATATTGCCTTTCGTGTTGATTACGACTTTCCTCCTGTAATTCTTTTGAATGGGGTCGAAAGGTTTGCAAATGTTAGAACCAACAGGATTTCTAAGCCTGACGGGTCTTATCATACAAGACTTTCGTTGTTACTCACACAACTAGCAGGAAGACATAAACCTCAGTCTATTTCAGCTGTAAAGAAAAACGGATATACAACGAAAGTTGTAAGCACCTCACTTATGGAACCTCTGATATTGCAAATGTCTTCTCTCTAAGCAATAGAGACTACCTGGTAATATTTGGGCCAACTCATTGATCATACGCCTAGATCCCGATTGGACAACTACCTCCAGGAATGTGACTCATCTGGGTCGAATATGGTGTTATCTCTTTTTCCTTGAAGCAATGAGCAACATATTTGGCAACCGAATGTCAAAGGGTGTTTCACTTTTGGCTCTACCTCCAGAGATGATACGAATCATCGCACTGAATCTGGAGTTTGAAGACCTTTTTCGGTTTCAAAAGTCTAGCTCCTCAATTTTCTCGGCAACATCAGACATATCTTTTTACTATGAATACTTTGCAAAGAATCACTCGGGAAAAGCTATTCGAAACGTTTATGAAAATCGCGACCGGATTCCTAACTGTGAAAATGTTGTGGAACGACTTTATGGCAATATCTTCGAATTCGCTCATTAGTTCTACATATACGCAGATTCCTTATACAGCAGAGATACTGAATCTTTTCAAAAATTTTCGGGTCTGACACTGAACGCGTTGGCTATGAATTGGGGAAATCTTTGGAAAAACTTTGGCGTGAAGTTATTCTTTTAGGAGGACTTCCGACGTTGGACCATTTTCACAGAAGGCTTTGTGAACTTAAAGNATCACTCGGGAAAAGCTATTCGAAACGTTTATGAAAATCGCGACCGGATTCCTAACTGTGAAAATGTTGTGGAACGACTTTATGGCAATATCTTCGAATTCGCTCATTTTTTCTACATATACGCAGATTCCTTATACAGCAGAGATACTAATTTTTTTCCATAAATTTTCGGGTCTGACACTGAACGCGTTGGCTATGAATTGGGGAAATATTTGGAAAAACTTTGGCGTGAAGTTATTCTTTTAGGAGGACTTGTGACGTTGGACCATTTTCACAGAAGGCTTTGTGAACTTAAAGGAGCTTATCCAAGCTTGGTTAAAACTCCATATTGGCACCATTTTGAGGATTTCCTTTACTGTTNATCTCTTTTTCCTTGAAGCAATGAGCAACATATTTGGCAACCGAATGTCAAAGGGTGTTTCACTTTTGGCTCTACCTCCAGAGATGATACGAATCATCGCACTGAATCTGGAGTTTGAAGACCTTTTTCGGTTTCAAAAGTCTAGCTCTTCAATTTTCTCGGCAACATCAGACACATCTTTTTACTATGAATACTTTGCAATTAATCACTCGGGAAAAGCTATTCGAAACGTTTATGAAAATCGCGACCGGATTCCTAACTGTGAAAATGTTGTGGAACGACTTTATGGCAATATCTTCGAATTCGCTCATTNGACGTTGGACCATTTTCACAGAAGGCTTTGTGAACTTAAAGAAGCTTATCCAAGCTTGGTTAAAACTCCATATTGGCACCATTTTGAGGATTTCCTTTATTGTTATCGTTGGAATTATATAATTTCTATTTTTCTACCATTAAAAGGCCAACGCAGCGTAGATCATATGCTGGAAG